ATGTTGACATCGATTTTGTAAAAATTTCATTAACCGAAATTTCGTTAACCGAGATCACTGTACTTTTCATAAAAACTGCTCGGCACACACACGCTGTCTGTCGCCAGGCTGTCTTTGTGTTTGGGAGATCACATAGGTCATAAAATAATTATCGAATAATAATTCCACAAATAAATACATTTATAACATAATCATAGCATTATCATCTAGTAATACTACACTACAATATAACATAGTGAACCCTCACTTTACGAGTCAATTGAACCCACGGGGCCCGCAAAAGAAAAGCTAAGAAACGCGAAAGTGAACAACATATAAATATATGGATTAAATGAAATAAAGACCGCTGACTTAAACCCACTTTTTCCAACACAATACTGTACCTATGTTCTAGTAAAATAACATCTTAGTTTTATGATGGTACATGTACACAATTAATACTTAAGAGAAATAGAGAAATTCAGTCGCTAGTTAATGTCCATTTCAAATAATGGACTCAAATCCCTCCCCTTTCTCACACTACACCGCTGGCTCTTCCTCTGAGAAATTTTTGGGAAAACCACTAGATTTTAAGGTATAGTAATAAATAATACCTCAAACTAAAGTTAGATAATATAATTGACATTGCTGGATTCCTTGCAAGACCAGGAATATTTTGAATGTACACTTATATATTTTGCACAAAAGATAACATATTTGCTCTGAGTAAACAAAAATACTTGCATTAGATCTAAAATTTGTATGTCTACCGTGATATCACGGCCTATAAGACAAAAATTTGAACATTAAAAAATCTGCCCAAAGTTAGGGGGTCGCCTAAAACCACCAAGTTTAAAATTTTACCTCTTAAATATTGTGGTTTAGTGTCAAGAGTGGTGATGAAAACATCGTAGTTCACTCACAAGGTCTTACCACTAATTATTTTATACTGAAACTTACGCTTAAGTGTTGATTCAAATTAAGATTACCGTATATTAAAATAATAAAATGTATTATAAAACCTGTCTAACATACCGTAAAAGAGATTTATACCCTGTAATAAACACAGCTATCATCACACACCCTCCCCCACGCCCCCATTTGCCAGTGAGGAGACAAGAAAGGAAAGTGACCACGAGATTGGGCTATTTTTAGTCGTGGAGGTGGTCAGTAATGCATACCGTATCGGTATATTTACTCATAATAATATTTATCTCCTATAAATAATTGATTTAAATTTTATTTTTTACAAAGAATATTCAGTAAATGAGTGCTTTAATTTTGAAACTATCGACGGTTAATTACAGACGCTAAGTGACGTCACTAGTGTTTACACAACAGCTGGTACATTTGATGCCATTACTAAATTGGCCTTATTTTAAGTAACTAACTATAAACAAAAATTAAAAAAAGATCAAACTGAGAAATAATATACTGTATGTATGTTGTGTTGTCAAAGTAAGAGGAACAATTGAAACTGCAATTCGGTAAATCTATTTCAAGTAAATGGAAAATAAGCAAACATGTTATTTACTAAGACGCTTTCCTCTGGCTCAGGGTGAGATGGAGGGAGATAAGGCTGTTTATAGCCTGCCTGAAGTGGCCAGTACCCTAATGCACCATAAATAATTCATTGAACATTCATTTTTGTACATAGTATTTCAGTATATATATATATATATATATATATATATATATATATATATATATATATATATATATATATATATATATATATATATATATATATTTATATATATATATATATATATATATATATATATATATATATATATATATATATATATATATATATATATATATATATATATATATATATATATATTTGTAATAAATGTATGTAGTAAGTACATACTGGTAACCTTTTTCACTCAAATCCTAATGAAACACCACAATTAGAATACGTGGTTGCTGTTGAACCACATGTTGTATAAATAGTCGAACACAGCCACACCACCAGACGAACACTCCCACCACCCCATCGCCTCGTGAAGCAAGCGTGATAAATGAAAGAAAATACTAGTGTGTTTAATATGTTACAGTATATTATAAATAAATAAATAAATAAACAAATAAATCAGTAAATCCATTTCAAGTAAATGGAAAAATTTACCTCATACCGACATTAGTTCCAGTTATCGGTAAATAGCAGACGTTCAGTGACGCCACTAGTGTTTACACTACACCAGCGGTATAATTTGATGACATTATTTGAAGTGAATTGGCCTTATTTTAAAAAAATCAAGATGGTTGGTAAAGGACTACTGAGTCAGTGGGTAAGTGTCACATTTGGGGTACTGGTCTTATATACAGCAAATAGAGCTCAAAAGCTACTTTTTAAATGGAAATTTGGGGGCGTCTTATGACTCGCCACTTTTATAGGTCGGGATATACGGTAATGCAAAATCTATGATGCTTATATTCAAATGATCATCAAATTGTAAGAATTCTAGCAATGTAAATTATATTCTGGCCGGATAATTTGTATGAATTTTATGAACTAAATAAAAAATTATACTTCACCAAGATATGAGTAGATGCACGCTGCAAAGCGGGTTCACTGTACACAACTTTTAGTAATAATAGCTAGATCCCGACTTACGACGGGTTAGGACCCAAATCCAGGTCTAAGTCCCATATAGATAAAAAAAAAAGAATTAAATGTTTTTTAAATAAAAAATCTACAATGAAATACAGTACAGTAAAAGTAATAAATAATGAGGAATGGATACAATACAGTGAAAGTAATAAATAATGAGGAATGGTTACAGTACAGTGAAAGTAATAAATAATAAGGAATGGATACAGTGTGACTGAGCACTTACCTTTAATGTAGTCAGCTGAATGCACATGGGGCCCCTATAATTTTCTAATTATACATGGAGACTACATTAACTGGAAACGCTTTCGGTATAGAAAATGCGGTGTCATTTGAAAAAATATGGTCACAACTGCGGCGGTCGTTAGTCCCAACGGTCGAAGTCCAAGCAGTCTAAAGGGGTGTAGCTGTATTACTTTGATACAACATGATAAAATGGATAAACAATGAAAAATAAACAACAAAAGAAGGTAGCTTTACTAAGAAGCTTCCTCTGACCACGAGTAGGGTGCTGAGGTGGCGTGGTGGTGGCGGGTGGTGGTGGTGGCGGCGGCGGGGCGGCGGGCGGGCGGGCGGTGGCGGTATGTGGTGGCGGTGGCGTGGCGGTGTGGTGGTGGCGGGTGGCGGGTATGGTGGTGATACGTGGTGGTGTTGGTGAGAGAGGTATAATAATTATCAGTTTAGAGGACGGATTCCCTTAAATGTAGCGGTCCATAAGTTTCTTGACAACAGCACCAGAGAAACTATGTGGGTCATCCTAGGGTATGTCTACATCACTTGCTGTGTAAAACAACTAGATCTAACACATACCCAGTATCACAGTCATATAGCACAAAGAACTTGATCCCAAAGCGATGCTATTTGGAGGGAATGTATTGTCTAGAAAACAACACATTCTCTGAAAAGCACCAGAGACTTGTCCACCACTACATTCTGAAACGGTCTGAAGAACTTATAAATGTTCCTTCGCATCGTAAAGCTTTCCTTATTTTCCATAGTATGTCACCAGCCACAGGAATGTTGTTATCCATGAAGTGTAGATAACGAGGATGGAGGCAAACCGGTTCTGAACATGAATTTTGCAACCTACATCACTCCATCGCACGCATGTGTGGCGAGGGGCCAGGGCCTGGGTCAGGCCATACGCGGTACCATTCAAATAAATTACTGTCTTACAAGAATCCAAGCTATGTAAGATATTCACCCAGGTCGCTTTGGGTGGCAAATTATGAGAAGAGCTTAAATACCTAAAGAATGATAAAAAACATGCAGGCCTTCAGCACCAACTGTCAAATCATATCTCAAATAAATAAACAAACACCAGGCAATCTGTCACCTCACCTTCCGCTTCCCCTGCTCCCCTCTTCCCATGCTCCTGGCTACTCCCTCCTTGTGTTCCCAGACAAAAGATTGGTGATAACTTTATGCTTTAAGGTGTTTATTTTATATAATATCTCAGACTAAAGCTAGATAATATAATTTGCATTGCTGAAATCCTTGCAAGACATGAGATTAATTTAAATATAAACGTCATATATTTTGTCCTAGATAAAATTGTAGTACATTAGTGTGCAATACTTTAGTACATTTTATAATATAAAAGTTTTTCAGCTGTATTTTTGGTAGATTCACATAGATTTCTTCATTTATTTTCGTCCATTTACATGCACACACCATACTAAGAGAAACGTAGAGAAATGACTGTAAATGACTGTGCAAAGCTGGAGTACATGTACTAATTTGATTACGGTACTAAAATTGTTATGTCTAGTGCATATTATAGGTTGTTTATATTTAAATAAATCAACATCTTGGCAAGAATCCCAGCAATGTAAATTATATTCACCCAGGTCATTTCACTGGCTTTTTATAGAGAGAAGCTTAGTCATTAAGAACAGATAAATAAACACGCTATAGACCTGGGCCTGTGCTAACTGTCAAACCGCTCCTCCCTCCCTCCCTCCCTCCCTCCCTGTCCCCATCTGCCCAGCCTTGCTGGAATCCTTGTAAAACAGTGAATAATTTTAATATAAACGTCATGTATTTTGCACAAGAGATAAAAATTAATCACCTGTATCACATTACAATAGTGATTAAGAGTAAAAGTGTATATGTACGCTTATAGTATCACATACACGTAAGTATAAATGCTAAGTTTATGTGATGATCGGACAACGTCCATTTCAGTTAAAGCCACGTTTTCCAAGAGAACGATTTGTAGGACGTTAACCGCATGACTGTAATTTTAGATCCTCGCTTACACTGAGATGTTGTCGCACTTAATATAATTGTTTTAACTGTACAGTAATGTGAAAGTTTGTACAGTATATTGAAGATCAGTTCTCATACAGTACTGTATACATTTTATACCAGATTAGCAACTCGTGTCTTATAATTGCAGGACCAGGAAGTGGATATTAACATAATATATAGACTGGCTCCTGCCTGGCCTCTCTGACCAAGGCTGATGGTGATTGGGAAACATTTATTAACATGCTGGAGACGTACCTACGGAGGAGGATTCAGCATCGAGAAACTGCAAGCTAACATACCTGGCATAGGTAAGTGTGTCATGTTCCATCCACCACTTCAGTGTCAATTTGACTGAATTCATATTTTGAGAAATATACGAAATGTACAGTACCATACATACAATATAGCTCTTTGGATGGTGGTACATCACTTTATATTTTTCCCAGATGGAGATGAAGAGGCATTATAGACTATAGTATAGACAGAGCAGGTTATTCTGATGTCTTATTAGAGCCTTTGTGCCAGAACCAGTGGTGAGGGCTGTCCCGACTATCCATGGAGATAGTGTACAGAGTGTGTGTGTGGCAGTGAGTGGATGGTAGGCCTAGCTGAGCATTTTGACAATGTTTGCTTATTGACTTTACGTAATGCAGTGTTAGTGAGTAACGATTGCAGTAATGCCGTTACTTAAGAAAATTTGTACAGTAGAATGTTGATATAACACGAGATCCGTTCCAAGAGATTAGCTTTAAACCCAGATTAGCACTAACTCAAAGTGTTGTTTCAATGGAATAACTTAGTTTGGTACTTGAGAGAAACACAAAATACTAAAAAGACTGAAGTCTGCAGATGCACCTCAGCCCATATCCTAGAATAAACAAAACATTGTTTTTGTAGTATTATGTTAAAACAAACACTCCTAAATCAACACAGCTAAAATTACAGGATGCAGAAATGGTCTGTTTACTAGCGATCAGCTGATGTGAGAGGTGGTCTCGCTGGTGCAGCGCATCACCTGCCTCTCGTCTGACTCGCCAAGCATTTTTACTTTCCTCAACTTAGTTTTTCATTAATTTATGCTGGCCTCCCCTGCCCCGACTGAGAGTCTGCCCAGATACACTAGAACTCATAAATCACTAATGTAATGTAATACAGGTCCACAATCTATCCCTTATTTGAGGTGTGTAATGTCTACATTCAAATTTGCTATCTTGCAAAGATTCCAGCAATGCAAATTATATTCTCCTAACTTTAGTCCGTGACATTTATAAGATAAAACTTTTAACCCTAAAACTACCTTCACCCCTGGGAAGAGGAGGGTGATGTGTTGACAACCAGGCAGGGGAGGAGTGGGGTGAGGTGAGGTATTCATCAGCCAGGAGACATTAATCCTGTGTGTCTTATCAGTTTTCACTTATAAAATGTCACTGAATTGACCGGGAATATAACAAATTGATGGCATTCTTGTAAGACAGAGATTAATATGAATATAAACATGCTATAGTTTGCACTTGACATAAAATTTTAGTAATTATTTAGTACATTTGAGGTACAGTACGGACAATTATTTCTTTACTTTTTTTTAGGATGGTGTGTGCATGCAAATGAGTAAAAATAAATGAAAATTATGTAAATCTACCCAAAAATACAGTTGAAAAACTTGTACTGTACATTACCAAATGTACTACACTAATGAACTAAATTTTTATCTCCTGAGAAAAATATATGATGTCTATATTCATATTATTTGCTGTCTTGCAAGAATTCAACAATGCAAGATATTCTCCCTAACAGTCTGTGATATTATGTTAGATAAAACTGTAAGCCTAAAACCACCAAACCTGGCTGGGAGGGATGTGTTTGTGGCTGGCGCCGGGGTCTAGTGAAGTATTTCTTTATTCATGTATCTGTCCTTTAGAGTGAGTTTTTGTTTTTAAGCATGAAATGTTACTGAACTGACCTGGGAGAATATAACACATTGCTGAAATTCTTATAAGATAGTGATTAATTTGAATATAAATATGCTATACAGGTTTGTACCTCTCTAGTCTGGCATTCTGTGGTCCGAACTACCTTGGTCCGGAACGATTTTAGTTTGTCCTATAGGTAGATAGGCAGTTTTTTTTTTTTTTTTTTTTTTTTTTTTAACTTATCTGAATTATTATTATTATTACAGGAGTATTAAATTTTTGCCCCTTAGGCCCCAATGTGGGTCAGTGACCTATACCGAGTAGGCTAATCCTTAAAAAAAAAAGCCATGGAAATTAAGATTTGTTTACATCCGTGTCTCTCTGCTTGTCTATACAGAGTACAACATTTAACCCTTCAATATATATGTGAGTAGTAAATAAGTGTTGCTTTCATATTCTTATGTAGAGTAATGACGATATATTTTCACATGTGCAGACTTACATACTAGAGCAGTCTCACTTTTTTTACCATTAATGGTTACCTACTTATATTGTTCCATTTATTAACATTAAATAACATTACAGGTACTTCAACAACCATAATCATTTTTTACATTAGTTTTACTACAGCTAAAATCAGGGTCTTATTTTCTTCAGTTTTATATGGAACCAATCAGTCACTGGTTTTGTGTTTTAAATAAACAATGCCGCAGCCGCCTTCTCTCCTCTAATATTCCACGTTATTATTAATAAATTGTATTAATTTTGCACACACGCATTGATTCAATAAAACAAATTCAGAAACATTAATTAAAATATACATGAACAGAAAATAAGTGTTGCTTTCATATTCTTATGTAAGTAATGACGATATTACGTTATTTCTGCGGACTTTACATACGCGATTTCTTTTTTCTTTACCCTTATCGTAGCTACTTCTATTGTTCCATTTATTAACATTAAATAACATTGTTAAAACAACCATATTAATTTTACTGCAGCTACAGTCAAGGTCTTATTTTCTTCAGTTTTATATGTAGAACCAGTCAGTCACTGGTTTTGTAATCAACCAAAACAATGCTGTGTCATTTCCTCATGTGTTTTAATTTCTACGATATTAATGAATTGTATTGCTTATTTTGCACTATATAGACATTAATTCAATAAAAAGACATTCAGTAATAAACAATAATGAATTTTTTACATAGAGAAATGACGTTGTTTCACGATTATGCAACGTCGTCTGCACGCTGGCGGGCTGCAAACCCGCGTCAAATTCAAGTTTCAGCTGCAAAATTTTTATTTATTTATTTTTTGTGTGTTCCAATAAAATACGTTAAGAATTAAAAACTCAAATTTGAGAAGCTACTATACGACATTTAACCCTTCAATATGTCTTCAAAGAGACCATGACGTGAAAGTGGTGCTAGTGCTTCCAGGCATAAGCACAAGTCACCATCTATCCAGGAACAGGGTGAATTTCCATGGTCCGCACTGGTCAGGTCGAGGTTGCCGGACTAGAGAGGTACACCTGTAGTTTGCACTAGACATCTAACAAATTTAGTAATTATTTGGTACATGTGTATAGTACAGAATTGGCTTGTGTTTGGGCATTATGAACGTGTATGAGAGAGGTTTAAGCGCACTAAATTGACACACACACGAGAGGCAGGTGTTACTCTGACAATACCCAATACCTATGTGGCAACTGAAGACAGAGGGTGGGATAAGTTGGAGCATTTGGCGGCTAGCATTTGGCACACTTACTTAACATTTTGAATATTTTGAGCTTGAAATTGAAATTAACGAACTCAGGGTAATCTACCCAGATTTGACTCACATAAATAGAAAGATTCGCTTAAATTGATAAGATGTCCTTACTTGGTGGGTCGCTAATCTATAATTTTAAATCGACTTTCTACTTTATTACTTTTGTGGATAATTAATCATTTTGTTACCTTATATTTGAATAAATAGAAGCATATCAACAGTGGAAAAAAATGCATGCAAATAACTGAATACAGTGGCCATCGTGTTAACATATGTTGCTACCGCGCTCCTGGCACACAGCAGTGTTGCAGTTTGTGAATTTGAGGCGTGGTGTGGAAAACAATTGTGATCGGTCATGGGTGTAGAAATGTCTGATATCTTCCCACTTCACTGTAGAATAATTTCCACAATTTTCAATTATGACACCTTAATAATTACAATACAGTGATATCTTCATTAGTCGGAACAATTGGTGGAGGGCACTTCCGGTAATGAGAGATTTCCGGGTAACGGGACGACTCTCTCAAAGCCGTAAAAATATCCCTCATCCCTGGATTTTTTCAGGTAACAGAAAAAATTTCTCGCAAGTTCCAGAAATTGCGCATTACATCATCTCTCAAACTTGGGGGGGGGGGACCTCCCCCATCCCTGGAATTCTCATATTAAAGGGCCCCCAATTTCACGGATTTTTATTTCATGGTCCTCTATTATTTGCGAATGACACCCTAGATGTACCCAAGCATGTCTGAGGGTACAGTATAGTCTTGGTGTACGCGGATTTGGTTTATGCGTTTAGTCATTTACGCGGCACCTTGCCAGACCGACAATTTTTATTTACGCAGTTCATTCCATCATGTACACGGGAAGCGGCGCGGGCAGGGTGCGCATAAGGTCGCCCAGTCAACAAAACATTACCGAGTTCTTCACCCGCTACCACAGCCGGCCCAAGTCAGTGATAGTGATAGTGAGGATATGGACTTTGAGGGGTTTGACTAAGAGGCCCTGCAAGCCTCTGTGGTGGATAGTGATACAGGTGATACAAGTGATACAGGTGAGGGCCAATAATCTGCCCTCTGCCTCAGAACCAACCCCAATCCCCGTGTACCCAGCCATCTCTTCTACTAACGTAAGTGTTAAAAAACTAATATTATTGATATTTCTCTTAAATGTTAATTGTGTGTGCATACCATCAGAAAATTAAGTTGTTATTTTTACTACAACGTACATAACGTATTGTGTCTGGGTGAAGTATAATTTGTTTATTTACTTAAGATATTTGTTTTTAGCTCATAAAATTCATAGAAATTACCCGGCCAGAATATAATTTACATTGCTGGAATTCTTATAAGATAGTGATTAATTTGAATATAAACAAGCTAAAATTTGCATTAGACATACTAATTTTAGATCTAATTTAAGAATTTTATTAAAGAGAGCAAAAATTTTATCTTTTATGCAAAATATATGACGTTGATATTCAAATTATTCGCTCGCCTTGTCTCTTCACCCAAACATTTCTCAGGGAGGGAGGGGAGCCAGCGAGTGTGGGAAGAGGGCGGGGGGGGGGCCGGGAGTTGAGTCCATTATTTGAATGAACATTAACTGACGACTGTATTTCTCTTAAATAT